GGGAAATAAATATAGAGGTGTGTCAGGCAGATGATTAATAAAAATATTAGGTTATTCTTGATTTTTTGATGTTCATGTTATTTGTCAGCTTTTATAACTTGTAATTATGCTCTTTTCTCTGTCTAAATAAACATTTACTTTCATGCCTATTTTTATATTTGTAATTTTGTATTTTTCTTTAAGAGGGCATGCAAAATTGTATAAGCTTCAGGCCCACAAAACCCAGACCCATTTCAAGCAGAGTTGAGGGAAGGACTACCGTTCTGAAGGCAGGAGGATGAAGTGAATGAATATATGCAGAATGTGCACATGTGTGCACATGTGTGCACGTGCATACACACACACACACACACACACAAACACACACACACACACAACCACCCCCCACCCCTACTTCTACTGACTGAGCTCCCAGACGGCTGAGCTAGGCCTTTACTCCCAAGGCAAGAAAGTGGAAGAATCTTCTCTAGGGAATTTTACTTGCTCGAGAGAAAAGACTCGATACTGACATCAGGGGTTCCCCACAAAACCCTATGCCATAGACAGACATTATCCATGTACTCACAGCTCCTAGTCAGCTTTTTTTCCCCAGTCATGTATGTGAGCAGACACCCAAGAATTACCATACATCCAAGGGAAGTGTCTAGTGTGAAAAGTGGAGACTAAAACAAACAGGAAAAAAAGTAAGTTGAGGGGAAACTGAGACTACAATGGAAGAAGAAACTTTTTAAAGCTGTCATTAAGATCTTCAGATAAGGCATCCATGAAATAACAGAATACTATAAAAAGGACATTCTGGAAATTAAAAAAAAAAAAAAACTGTCAGGAATTAAAAATATGGTAGAAAAACTCTTTAGCAGTGTTAGAAGATATGGAAACATTGAAAAATAGAGAAATTAGAGGATGCAAGGATCAGCATCAGAATTATAAAAATTTCAGAAATAACAAAATAGGGAAGGGGGAGAAATCAACAACAATAAATGTTTTTAAATCCCAGAACTAAAGGTTATAGATTGCCAAATTGAAAGAAGCCTGTTGACTACACCAGCACAGTGAATGAAGTTAGACCCATAAGGTACAACATGAAATTTGACATGAACTTAGGAATCGACAAGCTTGCATAAAGAAAATAAAAGGCAGGTCCCATACAAACAATGGAAATCAGAGTAGCTTTAAACTTCACCACCACAGCAGTACTAGGAAATGAGAAACCAGTGAAACAGTGCTTTGAGATTCTGAAAGAAATTACGTCCAGCCTATAATTCTATACCCAGTCCAACTAACCGGTGTGGCAGTAGAATAAGAAGTGTTTTGGTATGCAAAAATCTCAAAAATGATCTCCCACACACTTTTTCTTCACCTAAATGCGTAGTAAAGCAAGAAAGAAGAAGACACGGAATCCAGGTGTCAAAATTCCGGGGAGAGAGGGAAAAGAGGAGCCCAGGATGCCCACTGTACATGAAGGTGGAGGTGTACACACATGTACACAAGAAAAGGCCAAACCCCAAACCAGGAGAAAGTCCTGATAAACAGGCCAAAGGGCTGTGGTAAAATGTAAACTGTTTCAATCTGTCTCTAGGGCAGTCAGCAAATGTACCAGAGCCTTAAATGTATATATAGCCTTTGACCTACCATTCCCATTCTAAGAATTTATCCTTTGCCCTAATTCTTGATGTGCACAAAGATGTAACTATTAGAGTTTTTGTTTTTAATAGAATAAAATTTTGAAACAGTTGCAGTGACCACTAGCAAGCGATGCGGGTTACAAAAAGAAAACTAGTGGTAAGGTGTATAATGAAATACTAGATAGCTCTTAAAAAGTCAGGCCGAGAAAAACTAAATATTGACAATATAAAAACATTCATGATATGTTTTTTCTTTTTAAGATTTATGTATATGTATACATTTGCACACACATGCTCACACAGAATCAGGATATTACTGTTTGTTTCTTTGGGATTGTGTGTGTGTGTGTGTATGTGTGTGTTTGTCCTTTTGTGTTTTTCCATGTTTTCCAAGTTTTTTGATACTGATCAGGTGTTATTTTTGAAGTCAAGGAAAAAGAAACGTAAGAGATTTTTTTTAGTTTATTTGAAAAATATAGAAAGTGCAAAGAAGAAAACAATAATCATATTCTCACCACCTAGAATTAACCACTACTAACATTTAGCATTTTGCTTCAGTTTTTTTCTTTCTTTCTGCATATTTTTAAAATATAATTAATATCAAAACAATGACCTTGGTTATCTTTTAGATTTGAGACTGGGCTGTTTTGGTTTTTTTTTTCCTTCTCACTCGCTCACTAGCTCACATTCGTGCTCACTTGAGCTCATTCTCCTCCCCCTCTCCCCTCCCCTCCCTCTCCCCCACTCCCTATCCCTCTCTCCCACTTCCTCCCTCTCCCCCTTCCTCCCTCCCTCCCACCTTCCCGTTTTTTATTCTTTTCTGTAATTCTCAAGTTTTTCTGATGAGCATGTTTTACTTTTTAAAAGGGATAAACTGTTCTTTAAAATACATACAGTTCCTTAAAATACATACAGTTGACCCTCCATATCCGCAAGTTTCACATCTGCTGATTCGGTCGACCATGTGTTGAAAATAGTATCTGTGGTTGGGAATTCATGGATGCGGAGGGCCAACTGTATGTGTTTTTCTACATCATTTCGTATGAGGGACTTGAACAGCAGCAGATTTTGGTATCCACGGGGCGTCCTGGCCCCAATCCCTGCCAGATAACCAAGGGGTGACTATATGACAAATTATATGAGAGTGTTAAAACTATGAGTGGTAGAGAGAAAGCTGGACTGGACATCAGAGCCCTGACAGTTTATTCCTGGTTCTCTCGTGAACCAGCAGAATGACCCTGGGCTAGTCACTAAACTCTCCAGATCTCCTTTCTCATCTATGAAATGAGAGAGTTGAACTGGAAAAAATTTCTATGGCAACTTACAGTTCTAAAAATACTGTGATCCTAAATTAAGATTTAGAGAGAGTTTGTGGCACCACAAATAATGGACTCTTAAGTTCCTAATTTCTTGGTACCTAGTCTGTAGTACTGCGCTCCAAGTAAGAATCATTTTGAAGACCACTCGGAGAATTCTTTAGCATTCTTTTCCTACTCCCCATGTTCTTGGAAAAGAGATTCCATTTAGAACTGAAGTTTTAGATAAGCTGAAGGGACCATCTATTCTAACTCCTTTGTTTTATAGTTTAAGAAACTGAGCTCCAGAGAGATTGGGATTTGTTCAAATCACAAACTAGTCAGAGGCAGAGACCAGGTTTTCTGAGTCTCAGTCTGGAGCTTTTTATACTGCAACATGCTTTGTGCAGAACAGAATCAATCTTTGCAATGCCACCAGGACCTCATTTGCACTGTCACCAAAATGATCCTTGAGGGCAATTGTTCACTGTCCAAAACTATTGTGTCAGTCGACTGCAGTTTGATTTTGGGGAAAGTAACTGGAGGCCCAGGGAAGGGACTAAGGAGCTCATCTCTCCTTAACCTTTCCTCTTTAGGCCCGAGAAAGGGAAATAGCAATTTCATTTTTTCTTTCCTTTTCAGCTCCATAGCTTGCCTTTTCCCCTGGTAATTATGTAGCCAGAGATTATTTGTTTACAGAAACCACGTGAATCAGCCAGCCCCCAAAGGGTTAACACTCCCAAATTACGGGGTGGGTTAACAATAAACAGGATGTCCTCCAGAAATTAAATTTAAACCACTGTGACTCAGGCTGGCCCATCCTCTAACCAGATCACTGTCTGGGGTTATTATCGGTGGTTAATTATACCATTGGGTTTAGCAGCGGTATTGGTCAGTTTGGGCCAAGAGAAGCCAGGCAGGGGACAAGGGGGTGTGGAGGGAAGGGGCCTGGTAGAGGGGGTGGGCACAGCAGCGGAAGCGGGAGGTTTGAATGGAAGAGACTAAAAGTGGTCTAACCTGTCCCCTCAGGGCTGCTGCTGTGGCCCTCCTCCCTGAGCTGATTCCAGGGGTGCTTACCTGGCTCCTCCCGCCTGGGGGGTGGGGGCGGTTCTGCCAATGTTTCTGCACCTGCTGGGGTGCCCTGTGTTTGCTTTCTCTCCTGGCTGCCCTGCTTTTTGTCTCAGAATGGTAGAATCAGAATTTTCAGCACCTTAAGGAAGATTCTAGATTAGCTAGTTTAATATTCTTGCTTCACAGAGTAGGAAATTAAGGCACAGGGCAGTAGTTAACCTGCTGGGGGACAGCCTGCTCAGCGGAGGTGGAGGCAGGGGTTAGTGCCCAGGCTGAGACTCCTAGACCATGCCCATCCTTCCATTATGCCAAGCTGTCGTCCATTTCCAAGTGGGGCACCTGAGGTGCAGGGCTTCCTAGCAAGTTCAAGGCAGATTTGGACTGGATTTCAGATTCTTCTCGGAGTTCAGCTGCATTTCAGTTTTATCCGTTCCCACAGGAAATAACCCAGCCTGGCTGGTTCTTAATGTCCCTGCAATTTGTCATCTTTCCCCAGCCATAGAAGAAGCCCTTCAGAGCCACAGTTCGTCCATCTACAGAGGAGTAGTGAAGCACCAAATACAAGCGATAAGTGGCTTTTACGGTGTTTTTAAAGGCTCATTTTCAAGGATGTAACAATCCAAGTGAGCCTGTAATTTCTGACTTTGCAGCTCTTCGAGACACGAGGTTTATGTTGACTGTCATTTGTACATATCTCCCCTTTGCTGTCTTCGCCTTCGCAATGTATTTAAACAACAGACTATTAGTAGAAAGGATGCTCTGGAGCAGAAGGTGGTGCCCAGGACATCCATCTGACACTTTCCGTGGGAGGATGACTGTCCATCCCAGAACCCACCTGGCTGCTGATGGTCCTAGACCCACAGGGCACATGGGACAAGTGGCGGGGAGCAAGCCACCGCCACTGTTCTTTACCCTTCTGGGGGACAAGTGGCCTGTATTTCATCAGTGCTTTTCAGCCACATCCTTCCCCATTTCTCCTAACGTCCTTCTTTGTCTCTTTCTCTTATAGGATTCCTTTCAAGATCGGGCAGCCCAAGAAACAGATTGTCCCCAAAACAGTGAGTAAATCGATTCTTTCCTTTTAAGAGTCAGTTCTGTCTCGGATGGCCTTTGCATGGAGCCAGAGCTTGGACTCAGCAGTCGTGGGGTTGGGAAGGCAGAACCGAGACTTTATCATTGCCAGTCACACAGCTCTGGGACCCCACAGAGACGGGGGCTTGCAGGGCCCTCCTGTCCTGGAGCATTTTTCTTCAGCTCAGCCTGGGTGGGCGGAAGAGGTGGGTTCCACAGGTGAGGAGGAACATACTGCTTCCGACAGCCCAGCACTGGACTCTGGGCCTCAGTCTGCACATTCCTAGGTGGGCACCTGAAAAGGAGACCCCTGCCAAGGACACGTCCCAAGCCTTTATCTCAGGCCACCTCAGGTCCGCACAAAAGACTAGGAAACTTCTCCAGGGGTCCAGGTCCCTTTCTCTCTGCCGTTAAATGCATTCCTAGCCAGGACCAACAGTCACTCGGCGCATGGGGATAGTTGAATCCTAACCCCCTCGTAAGCCCACAGTGTCTATCCCTGTTTTATCTCCAGAATGGGACAGGAAGAGAATCATATCTTCTTGGAAAGTTAGAGCTGGAAGCCCTTAGAGATCATCTAATTCAACCTCCTGATTTTTCCTGATGAGGAAACCAAGACCATGGAGTCACAGTGACTTTCTAAGGTTAGAAAAAGTAATGCTGACAGAGCTGGAGTTAGAACTCAAGCCTGAGCCTCTGTTTAATACTCCTTCCATTGCTTCACACAGGCTGTGAAGGTCTGCCAAGGCTTGGGGATTCCGGTAAAAAATGGCCGCTTTGCCTTGTCACTCACAGATCTGAGCAAGGCTCTTGGTTTAACGTGGGAGACCATAACTATAGAGCATCTCTCATTGTAGCAGTTCCAGGAAGCCTGGTGGAGGCCCTTAACTGCCATCCCAGCCCCTGGCGGTTCTCTTTTCTAAATAACCTCACCCCTCCTTGGCTCAGGACTCAGAACTATAGGAAAAATATTGTTTCAGTTTGGCGGGAAGGGGACTTCAGCACGCATCTGACCAATGGCTCTATCTTCGGGAAATCCAAAGTTAGATCACTTAAAAGGAAATGGGCCCGCATTAAAAGAGCCCTCCCCTTTTCAAGCAAAGGCAGACCGAGGACAGACTCTCAGTTGACCTCCCATGCAGAGGCTGACCATCTGTGAAGGCTCTCAGCTGAAGCGCAAAGAATCTGGGCGTGCAAGTGTTGGGCTCTAGCCGGCTACAGGAAGTGGGAAGGTGTGGCTTTGAGTCTCCAGAGTTTAATCCAGGGCAGATCTGAAAAGGAAGTGGTTTGGAGAAGGGTCTTTTATTCCCAACATTCACTACCAAAAAACAAAAAAATAACAAAAATCCTCCCAAGTCCCCATCCTTTATCGAGGTGGCCTTTGTTCTCCACAGAACAGTATAGGCTAGAATGCAGTTTCTAGCTTCTTTGCCAGAGTTTGTTGACGGAAAGATCTGTGGGTGTATTAGGCTGAGGAGTGGCAGGGACTCCCCAAGGGAAGGGCAGATGCACAGCCTGAGAAAACCCTCATGCCTGTGTGGCCTTCTGTGAGCCGTGGCTCCCTCTCGCTTCCTAGCATCGGCCTCGCTCAGGATGGAGCTGTGATCCTCTAACGGTGGCATCAGCTCCCTGCAGACCGGGCATCGAATAGCGGCTAGGAGGCCGGATTCCGAAGGCTCCCTGCCTGGATTCCCATCCTGACTCTGGATGTGCTGTCTGTGACCTTAAGCAAGTTTCTCGCCCCCTCCGAGCCTCAGTTTTCTCCTTTGTAAAATGAGGGTGATGCTAGGACCTACATCATTGCCGTCTGATGAGTCTCACATGAGGTGGTACATCTGAAGCACTTCATCCAGCGTCTGGCACATAGTAAGGCCTCAGTAAACACTAACTACATCGCAGGAAGACGCCAACTTGACTCTCTTTTTAAACCACCAAGAACTCCACCGGTCGTCCTACATCCCCCGGTGCAGTGAAGTGTAGGCTGGAACAGAGTTGTTTGTTCCCTCAACTCCCAGGCAGCACTGAAGTGTCTGCAGCAAGACCTTGCCTCTCAGAGTCTCGCTCTCCACCCGCAAACTCCCTGCTGGCCCCCCAGACAGGCCGGGGCCGTGTAGTTGTCTCAGCATCTCTGCAGCTGCCCCCAACAGAGGTGACGCACTCTGTTGTTCTTGCCCAGGCACTTTCAGGGAGGGGAGCAGATGGGGCTGCCTGGGTTATTGGAAGTCACAGCACCCCTGTCGTGGGAAGAAATGCTCACGTTATCTTCAGAGAGTTTCAGGAGGTTTTTGGCTCAAGGCACCCAGCTGTCAGACACAAAGGAAGCATTGTGTGTCTGCCCTCGCTGTTCTCCTGTGCCCAGGTTATTAATGCAGATTCCATTATTGTCACAGCTTTGGCTGGAATGGCATGTTCTCTGCAGGGGCTGACCAATGGAGCCGAAGTGGAAGAACAGAAGCTCCCCTACCTCCCCATCCTAACCTGCTCAGTCCCCTCTGCGCCCCCGTCCCTCAGTCCTATAAAGTAGCTGGAGCATCTTAGTGTGGCTAACAGAAGCTGTACCTCCCTCCATATACCGGAGGGCTGGGAGAGAGCTCTCTGAAGCAAGGGTCTCTCTGGGTCTCACACACAAAGAAAAGCACACACTTTGAGTCCTAGCTAGGTGGGCGCCTTGTGAAGTCAGGCAACAGAGAGTCCCACCACATGGAGCCTTCACTTGAGAAATATTTCCAGGTGCAAGGTGGAGGGGCCCTCAGCCTCATTCCCGTCCTGTTGTAACGTGCCACAGGGAGGCTGCTCTCCCGAGCAGGCTTACAGAGGGGGCTTCGCAGCTGGTCTTTTTCACTTCACCAAGAGTGTAAGTTTGGGTGGGAACTCAGCCCATTCATTCAATTAACAAGTACTGAGCTCCCGCTGTGTGCCAGCTTGTCCTCAGCATAGGGGAGAGCGGCGAGCTGGTGAGCTGCGCAGTCCTTCCCTTCCACCCTGAGCCTTCTAGAATGCAGGGAGCAGCCAAGGCGGATGTCCCATGCTCGTGCTCAGTCAGTCCTCCCTACGCTAACCTCGCCAGCCAACCCGCCCACCGTGACCTGCTGACGGTCGCGCACATGTGTTTACACTTGCATTGTTGACTGGGGTCCAGCTGCCTTTTTGGCAAAGGCATCAAGCATTCAGAGATGTTCAGATCTTTTGTGTTTGGCTATTTCCCTCAGAATGGATAGACCTTGGAATGCGACGCCAGTGTTTCCCTTTATTTTCCATCCGAGAGGCTAGTATCCCCCCAGATCCTTCCCCAGTGGAGGAGAGATGTGGGGACTGAGCTACAGAAGCAGCCCACACTTGGCTACCAGAACCAGAGGAGGTGAAACGTTCACGACCTTCTCTTATGCTCTCAGATGAGTTGCATAAAGTCGAAGGACCAAGCTCCCATTCTGACAAGCTTCTCAGCTTCTAGTGTGAGACCTCGAGCTTCTCATCAGCCAGAATGATCCAGCCCATTTGGAAACGTGCAGTCCTTCTCTGTGCAAGTCCAGGCATCCCAGCCAGGGGACCAGGTGTTCTTTGACATCCCACACACACACCAGGATGCTTGGGGATTGCAACAGACAGTGCCGGGAGCCAGGGCAGCAGCTCCAGTGGGTCTGCAGGCGCTCACCTCCCCCCTCAGAGCACCTCCTCGGTGGGTTCATCTTCAGGAGAGCTGCATCCTGGCCAAGACAGCCTTAATTTTAATTTCATCTTTTTATGGGGCCGTAGGGGGGACACTTTTAATATGTAAAGACTATGCTCAGTTGTCACATCCAGTGAAGTCAGAAAGGAGACGTGTCCGGTGAAAGGAGGCCCCAGCACAGCTCCCAGGCACAGGACTTCACGCTTAGCCAAACTCAGGGGTGTCCTAGCTATCAGTGGACCATGTGCTTTTTGTCGCTTCTCCTCTCTGCACCCCAGTGCCGGGAGGAACAGGGCAACGCCACCTGCAAGCCAGGCTCCCTGCTCTGTGCTCCACGATACTGCTGTGGGTCTTCCCATAAGCCAGTGAGGCTGACACTGTTACCCTGCTTCCTTGTCAGCCCCTGAAATTTATGTGAGGCCAGATGAAATATCCCGTTTCATTAGACAAAAAACAGACTAAGAATGTTAGGTAATGCTCTTAACGCTGCACAGCTAATAGTCAGAGTTCATGTCTTATCCGCCTCTGCCAAATCCTCTCCGGGCTCCCTCCCGGCACTGGGAGAAAGGACTAGACCGACCTCAGTGCGGACACCAAAGGGCCCAGGCAAGGCCCTTTCGCTCCAGAACAAATCTCCCACCTGCGGTCGGGCCGGAGGCCTTTGAGGTCTTTGGCTGCGACTCTGATTCCTGTCCAATTCCAAATCCCCTGTGACAGGTGACACTTTAAACTCTTAGCGGGCACATATGCTTTAGTGAGAGTGAATTTTGGATTTTTTCTGAGCAGCAGCTTTTGGTGGATCATAAGGAAGGCGATGATGAAAACGTTGGGTTCCTGGAGAGAGAAAGAGTGGGTCTGCTGAAAAGAGGGGGAGAGATGATAGGATGAGGCACCGGTGTGAGTTTTACCTCGTACCTCGGTGTAAGGTTCTAGATGCTGGGGTCATAAAATCAGCGAAAGATCATGTGTTCCTGCTTCTAAATTTTCCAGTTCAAATAGGAAGGTGACATGCCGCTGTGCCCTGAGGACCTGAGCCGAGTCAGGTCCACGTCATTCTCTGACTGCACCCGCCCGAGCCCTCCACAGGGCTTCCTGCCGATTGCAGTGTGCGTGCGTGCGTGCGTGTGTGTGTGTGTGTGTGTGTGTGTGTGTGTGTGTTGTCTCCTTTACCAGGGCCCACGTCTATGTTATTCACCAGGGTATCCCTCGCTCCTGGCAGAATGCATCACACTTAAAAGGTACTCATTAATGTTTGCGGGATAAATGAGTGTAGCTAAGAAAATAAAAGGAACCTAAGTTCTAGGCTTGCTTTGCCACTCACTAGCCCTCCATCCTTACATCAGTCACATTCCGTCTCTGGGCTTCATTCTCCTCATATGTAATGCGAAATAATTGGCCTGAATAATGTCCTGCCTTTTACCTAATTTACCTAATTTAGGATTTACCTAAATCCAAATGTGGAGTATGAGGTCGATAGGTTTAGGATATTCTTTCACTGGGGCACAGTTGCTGGAAGGGCCTCCTGGTAAAGAGCTGTGGGGCTTTGATGGTTTCTGCAAATTTGTATTCCCTGACCCTTGACCTGTAATAAAAATGAGCCGGGATTTAGGGCTCTCGGGGGAGCAGCCAAGAAGCCATCATTATTAGGTCATGGCTTTAATTCCTCAGCAAGCACCTTTTTCCCTTTTAGTGGAATGGCAGTTAAGAGCACAGGCCTAGGAACTCAGCCTCTTACAGTGGTGTGACCTTGCACAGGTAGCTTCACCTCTGTCCCCGTGACCTCGGTACAGCAAGGGCCAGTATACCTACCTCCCGACTAAATTGTGAAGGAGAAGCCATTCTTGGAAGCACACAGTGAGCACGCCGTTTGCATAGCTGGTTTCATTTCTCAGAGCACCTCAGCTCAGAGGCTCTGCAGGCAGCCAAGGAGACAGTCATACCGCCTCTGTGGGAGAACAGGAAGGAGAGGCCTCTCATCTGTCCCCTCCTTTAGGCTGTAAGGTGTCATTAACTTCACAGGCCACTCTTCTGAGAACCATTGCCCAGGCCCCATTTTACAGATGGGGAAATTCAGGCATCGAAGTGCAAGTCACTTTCTTAACTTCACCTGACATGTAGATGGCAGAATTGGATCCAGGACTCATACCCGTTGGGTTTAAATATTGCTGGCATCAGGGAAATCTGATAACTAACTAGGAATTTAGGGAGCCTTGCAGAAGTCGGTAGTAATGGTATTTGTATGTGGTTCATCCCAGCACACAGAGCGAGGGTACGTGATCTTCCTTGATCTACCCTGACCCTAGCAGGTGGCAGGACCTGTGAGGAAACGTGGGCTGTGACTGGGAGGTGACCTGCTTGGGCCTCAGAGCTGTGAAGTGGCAGAGACGGAACTGAAGTCCAGACCCACCCGTTCCTCTGTGCCCGCCTGTCTCTCTGGCTGAGTGTCAGTCACATCCTGAGCAGCTTACCTGCCACAGAAGGGGAGGGTGAAAAGAAGGAACACAGAGCCCCATCCCCCCCGCCACCCCCCGTGGTGGAAGAACAGAGCCTAATCCGCTGGTACTTGCCTGGCTGGCACATCTGGGAGGGGAGTCTCTCACCCTAAATAAGCACTTAATTAATTTGGGAACACAGGGGTTCTGTGTCATTAACGACCTGCTAGTGCCTGCATGAACGGGATGGTGTTGTTTCTGCAGACCCGGGGAGGGTGTGGAGGGAGGATCAAGAGGCTGGCAGATTTTTTCCAACCTGTTGTCATTTCTCCGATGATTGAGTTCTCTCTCTCTTACAGGTGGAGAGAGACTTTGAAAGGGAGTATGGAAAACTCCAGCAGTGAGTGTCAAACCCCAGAAAGATTTGGGGGCGGGGAGAGTTGGGGAAGGGCAAGAGCCTTCTGCCAGGTCTCACTTCCTGCATGGTTTTATCTGCTCGCCACCCCTCTGCCCGTCAGCACCCTGGTAGCCTAGAGCGGCTCAGTTCACCACCTGCCAGAAATTCTCCCCGAACTGATGGCTGTGTGACAGTTGTTAACTTGTAGCCTTTGGGTGCTCGGCCTCATGCAGAGCTCGTAGTGGTCCATTAGTCAGTGGAAAAAATCCCCACAGAGAGGGGTCCCTTCTCCTCCTGGCAGGCATTCCATGTCAGGTTGGGCTTCCCTCAGGTAGATAGAAGGAAAGGGGGCCGAAAGCCAGTTGGCGAAGCCCGGTACCAGGTCCGCACCCCTCCCTTGCAGGCTGGAAGAGCAGACCAGGAAGCTACAAAAGGACATGAAGAAGAGCACGGATGCTGACCTGGGTAGGTGGCACGTCTTCCAAGATGGGCCTGGACTGGGTGGGGCACAGGTGGATGTCCTCCTTCAGTCACCTTAGGGCTAGCTTTGAAGTAAGTACACTTAGTAGATGTCAAAAATGTCCCTGAAAAGTGACCTGAGGTCACTCTTCACTTAGATCCCCACTTACCCCTTTCCCTGGGTACAGCAGCAGCCACCACAGCTGGATGGATTGCTGGCTTCTGTGGTCTGTGCCACAGAGCCTCAGGTTAGTGTCATCCAGAGGACACAGGCACGTCTGAACATGACCGCCCTCACTTTTGGCCCCTGGTGTCTCCAAACTATGTGTGTAGCAAGCCAGGGGACTGCTTTTGGCGTCCGTCTGTTATTTAAGTTAGTTCTGAGTTAGCTGGATGGCATCTTTTTCGTTCCCCACTGCCTTTCCAGTAAGGGCAATGCTGTGACCTGTGGCTTCCTTTCCTTCTTATTACCACGTGTCATTGAAACCAGCGCTTGCCTAGCTATGCCAAATCTGGCTTTGTTTTGCCAATAAAGTTTTATTGGAACACAGCCATATCCATTCTTTAAGTATTGTCTGTGGCAGAATTAAGTAGTTGCAGCAGAAACCATGTGGCCCACCAAGCCCGAAATCTGGACTCTAGCTCTTTACAGTAAGTTTGCCGCCTGGCGAAGCGTGCTGCTACTTTTGTCCCCTAAACCACAATGCATCTCTCAGCCACCTGGAGAGGTTTTTTAATGCATGTTCCTGGATTCTATACTTACTGAATTAGAATCTTTGCAGCTACAAATCTGCATTTCTTACAGCTTCCCACCCAGATGATTCTGTTATAATCCAGAGTCTAGAACGTTGTCATTGCAGCAGGTAAAGCTGCCCAAAAAGATTATCCAGAACAGCGTCATGTGGTCTGGAATGAACATTATGCAATAAGGACTAGTGTCTTATGGTTTTGTGGTACTTTGTAGTTTTTATGGCCTCTGGCCATGGGTGGAGGTCATCTGGATACAGGCCTCTGGACTGAGGGAGGACCGGGAGTCCTGAGGACAAAGCCTTGACATCTGTTCCTTCACAAGTTCACTGAGCTTTGACTTCTTACAGCCATGTCCAAATCTGCTGTGAAGATATCCTTGGACTTGCTCTCCAACCCCCTCTGTGAGCAAGACCAGGACTTTCTGAACATGGTGACAGCCCTAGACACGGCCATGAAACGGATGGATGCCTTCAACCAGGAAAAGGTGACTGGGGTCTGGGTCCCCCCTTCTCATGGCTTCTATCTGGAGGAAGACCCACATGGAGTCCTTAACAGGGCTCAGGCTCCCCTCTGAGCACCCTCGCCCTCTTTGGCCCATGTTCCGAAGCCACGTGAGCACGTTCCTGGCAGCCCTGCTTCCCGTGGCTCCCACAAGCTCTCATCATTCACAGTGAGGCCAGGAGGGAGACCCCAGTCAGCTCTGCCCACCCACCTTCCTCCCTGAGCACAGCCGTTATCAGCCTGGGCAGGCTGCGGCCAGCAGAACAAGAGCCGACCGGGGACAAGGACAGGGTGCTCCCTGTCGCCCTTCATGCTTCCTGGTCACCATCTCTGCCTCACTTCCACAGCAGTTAGGGGTGCCGGCCTCGCTTGTCCTCTGGGTCCTCTCCCTGCTGAGCTCTCTGGGTACCCCTGCTAGGTCTCCTTTCTCTTCTCTAGAACTGGGAGCCTCCTCCCAGTTTTGATGTCATTGGGTTTTTCTTTTTACAGGTGAACCAGATTCAAAAGACCGTGATCGAGCCCTTAAAAAAGTGAGTAAAGGGGAACACAGGCTCGGAGCACTTACTAGAAAGGCAGGTCAACTGGTCACCTGGGGACCGAATATTATTTCTAGTAGCCTGTCCCCAGACTTTCACGGGGCTGATAGGAAACTCAGCAGAAACACTGGAGACATGATCTGCAGCCCTAGGGTGGACACTCCTGGTAGCCTCAGAGCACCCACCATCGTCCAGATGTGGTCAGTGGTGGCAGGCACTTGTGATCCTCCACAGCAGCCGGCAATTGCTCCAGTGGTCATTTTGCCATTTTCCCTTTGTTCCTGCTTGAGGACCGGTGGGACCAGAGCTTGCTGAATTAAGCTAGCAGAGATTTTGGCCAGCCCTCAGCGGAGATGAGCAAGGCCTTTCATCTCTCGGCCGGATTGAGAGAGCAGCTGCCTGCAGCACTCGGCTTTTGAAATGTGGGGGTGGCCGCACATGGGGAAGGGTGCAGCAGCCGGGTCCCGCCTGGGAAGGTCCCCTAACTCATGACCTGTCAGGGTCAGAAATTCTTCTGTGAGACTCCCCTTCTGTTAGGCAGGCTCTGGTCAGGGATCAGACGGGCCTATTCCCTGGGGCCCCTAAGGGGTGGGCATTGCCTTGAAGCTCCCGAATCACTTCATCTTCTTCCCTGGCCTCTCCCAGGCAGCCTCTGACCTAGAAAGGCTCCACTCCAGCCCGGCAGCTGCACTTTATTACCTCTCTGTGGTGGTCCCTGGCAGTTGCCTCACCAGGGCCCGGGTAATGAGGCTCCGCTAATTACCATTAGGCTGGATCAGGGCCCGGAGGGAGATGAGAGAGCAGGTTTTGATCCTCCAGCCCCTGGTGCTGGGGTTGTTGAGCTCCTTGCTCCCTGTTCGGGTCCAAGGGGTGGGGTTTGGGAAAGCTTTCTAAACTGGGCTGTCTGGAGGCTCCGCCACCGCAGGGAGGCTGAACCTGGCGCAGAAAATGATTTCTCTCCTCACCCCTGCACCCCGGCTCCTTCCACGGACTCTGGACCCCTGGCCCCTAAGTCCTGCTCAGCCCCAGGTCTCGGGGTCACGGGAGCAGCTGGGCGCTGAGGAGGCCAGTGGTCAGGAGGGAGCTGTCCGAAGGACTTCCATTGCTTGTGACTTTCCGACCCGGTCTCCCGGACCGAGGGCTCCGAGCTGCGTGGGAAGGACCACGGTCAGAACAGAACCTGCCTGTGGAGGTCCCAGGGGCTGCCATGGAGGCTGCCATGGACACCCACAGCTGGCAGAGCTAGGCAAGGGGACACCAGCTCAGAGAACTGGGGGACTGACTCCTGTCTCGATTTCACAACCAACGAGGCGGCCTTGAAATCTGATGCCTGGTTTCTGGAGCCAAATGGAGAGAAATCCCGGCTGCTTCCCACCACCATAGCGGCCCACCACCTGCCAGGAAGGTGGGTGAGTGGCAGAGGGGGCGGTCACCATCTCCGCAGCAGATCCGCTGACCTCTGTGTGAGCCCCGGGCCTGCCTGGCTACCCAGGCTGGCTTCTGTGCATCCCAGAGCCGACATGCGATCTCCCCCAACCACATAAAACCGGCATTGCCTGTTGCCTCCTCTTGCCAGGAGAAGAAGCTCCCAGGGACCCCAGCACCGGAAACAGGAAACTGCAGCTTTCCTGTCCTCTGATGAAGAGCACTGCCACATGGCCACCCTACCGCCCCCAGCCTCCCCCCAGGGGGCTCGGCCTCTAATCCCCCAGTCTCTGGGCCGCGTTCACATGGTCGGATGGGGATGCTTTCAATTTCCCTTTCCTGGTGGGTGGAAGATCCCGGCTGTGTGGGCACAGATTGAGGAATGGCAGGCATTCCCCACCAGGGCCGGCTGCTCCCAGCCCACCTCCCAGCCGGCCTCTTTCTGCCTCCCCCTTCCCCTCCTCCCTCTCGTGCTGCCTCTTCACCCTACGCTTACCCAGGGGTGGCAGTTTGCTGTCAAACCTTAGGACAGGCAAGAAACAGGCAGTCGCCGTGGGCAGAGCTCCAGCGAGTACCCGGTGTAGGCCGAGCCCCGTTCTCCCATCTTAGAGGACAGACATGTAGTCGAGGAGCTTAAGGTCTAGTGCAGAAGCCTTGACGGCATTCTCAAGGAAGTAGACCAGTATAACACCTGCCAAGGGGTGCAGTGCAGTGGAGCGGAGAGAGTACTGGACGGGCAGTCTCAGCCTGCCCGACCCGGCCCGTGACCTTGGCCAGGTCCCCGCTCCTCTAAGACTGCTCCCCCACCTGTGGAAAGGGAGAGCCGAACCAAACAAGGAGTGGCAGTCAGTGCTCAGCAGAGGGAGGGACATGTTAGTGGCTGAAATGGCAAGTTGAGCTGCCTGTGGAGGGCAGAGAATTTGGGGCCTCAGCCCAGGGACTTCCTGTTCCACCTGACTGCTGATGTTCAAGGGGAGCGGGAAGCTGAGCAGAAAGGGTCTCACTGTCCGGCCTTGGGTCTTTGCGGCAGCCCAGTAAAAGTGCGGGCTTCGTGCCTCAGGGAGAGCTGGGTCCCCCATCCTCACCAGGCCAAGTCATCAGGTACCTCTATGGCTGCAGGGCATGTCCGGGAGGGCCCAGGCACTGTGCTTGACATCACCTCCCTGCCGACTTCCCTCCCCTGACCTTAAGGTGGAGGAAAGCTGGGCAGTGCCCCTCATGGGGTTGCGGGGAGGGTCCCACTGCCCAGAGAGCTCCACTCCTCACACAGCACCGTGCTATTTATATGTGGACCTGGTAAAGTCTGTTCTGTTGCTTCTAAGTAGAAAACGGGGAGGTGGAGCCTCTGCAGGCAGTAACCAGGGCCAGAGATTACAGAGTCCCGGTCCCCATTTCTTTCTTCAGCCTCTCAGAATACACCGTCTGATCTCCCCCTGCCCAACCTTAGTTTCTCCACCTTAATGGATGTGACTCCTGCCCTTCCCCCTCAGGAGTCCCAAAGCCAGGGCAGGGCCTAAGCCTCGCAAGTGGTAAGTGATCGGGGGTCCACATACAGTAAACTAAGCCGGCTGAGGCCTTCGTGGTCTCCTGGTTTGAGGGGTGCTGCTGCGTGGGAGGCGGAGTTATCAAGGCGAAGAAAGGGCCACTCTGGAGGGCCTAGCAGAGCAACAGGGACCAGTTCCCGCTGCAGTCACCTTCTCCTCGTGGAGGATAGGTGGCCTTGCTTCCAGAAGGCTGAGGGGAGCATCTTGCCGACTCAGCCACCCTTACAGCACCCATCCCCGAAGTGGCCTGGCATCGCATGGAAGTCTGGACCCTGGATGCGCTTTCTTCCCCCGGGGCTAGGGGCTAGGTTTCTGACTCCTTCTATGCTGATCCGGTCCCTGCATTTAGTCAGCATTCCTGGTCTGTCACACCCTGGCTGGCCTTGGGAGTTACCCCTAACTGACACTGAAGAAAGAGCAAAGGTACAAGGGGTCAGGAGCTGCCTGACTGACCGGCATAAATAACAACAATCCCACCTTACACCTGGGGGCTGCTCTGCGCGCAGGGCTTCCTTCGTGGCGGTGCCCTCTTACCTGAGGACGTGCACTCAAAGTGATGGGATTGTGGCCGGGGCAAGGGGACTCTCCACCTGCTGCTTCCTGCCTGACTCTCATTCTCGTCCTTTCTCTGGGCCTGCACCCACCCCGCACCTCCCAGGCAGCCAGCAAGTGGACAACAGAGGCCCAGGCACTGGGCCACCCAAGCAGCAGGTCCCTTCTAGTGAGAATCAGGGTGGCTGCTGGTGACCTCTTGTCCAGTTGGGGTGCAGGGTGGCTTCTCAGCCCCAACCACACCTGTTCCTCTGAGTCACATGCTTCTCAGCTGCTGGTCACACTCCTCCCAGGAAGAGACAGGGCTTTCCTAGCAACTGAGACCCCATCATAGCAACTGTCTGAGGCAAAAGCAGTGAGTCCAGCTCCTCAGTGATCTCACGTGTTCCCATGTACCCCAGGGGGACAGTTTGTCCTGGAGGTAGCTGGGCGCTACAGTTTGCTCGGCGCCGAGTAGGCCTACACCTTCTGCCTGGCAAATCAGTCACTCAGAAATATCGAATTGCTTACTATGTGAAGGGGCTTCTGACCGAGGCTTCAGAGACATTTGCGTGGTCTTCCCACTTCTTTCCCATTTCGTTAGGGAGTGAGCCCATTACAGCACCCATTAAGTTGGAAGAATTCAATTTAGTCGCCTTCCTCAGGGATAAGTGCTTTGTTTCATTAAAATCTACCAGTTGGGTCTAAAGCTTTGGGGCATTTAATGCTTTGGTCAAGTTTATATTCTGTATTCTCTGGTAAAAGTATTTATTACTCTTATGTTATTTGTACTCTTGATTTGTTGAGGCTTTTAAAAACCAAATTCATGGTCACATCCCTATGAGAGGCAGACTTGGAAATAACTCTTCATGTTGTATCTGTGCTACCTAAAGATGACCCGTGAGCTCACAGATGCCCCTCTGGCTCTGAGCTCGGTGCGAGGCTGAAACCAGCAACTGCCCCGTCCCTGTCTTTCACCTTCTCTGAGATGCTGCAGGAGGAACTGACTCTCGTCGTTCTGGGTCGCCCACTCCGGGCTCCTCAGCCTTGGATAACCACCGTGCTGTCATTTCGGCTGCTTGGTGGACACCTCCTGCCCCATCTCCTGTCCTGTTCTAGAAACCCTGCTTGCCTTGCCTTGTCCAGCATTCATTCGTCAAGGGAATGTGCAGCGTCTGTGCCTGGGATGAGTCCTGCCCCGTGTCTGTCTCAAGATTTCGCCCTTCCCAGTTAAAGGTGACAGTAGTCACAAAGATTATCCCACAGAGACCCAAATGCCGAGGTGTCTGCTGCTGCTGCTTCTGAGTGACCCACTCCTCTGAGTCACCATGGGGTAGAAGAGATCCTTGAGTCATTTTCCTCAAACATCTGGTTTGACAGTTTGTCCATTTTAGTGGTAGAACCAGAGGATTCTTGCTTTTCCTATGGTCAGCTGGTAGAATATACCAGGAGTAGGGGATTTTTTGTTTGAGGTTCTTTGGTTTTTTATTTGTTTGTTCGTTTTGTTGTTTGTTAGAAATCTCTTTATTAGAAGTGTTTTGGGTTTTTTTATTAAAGTATAGTTGATAATATTATATCGGTTTCAGGTGTACAGCATAGTGATACGACATTTATATACCTTATAAAGTGATCACCACTGGAAATAGGTTTTAACTGCATTTCTGTCATCTGCTTGTGGCAGCAGAGGTGGTGGGGAGGTGCTACACAGAACTGGGACGCTTGAGTTCTCTGCTGGACCATCACTCCCTAATTGTGACCTTGGACATATCATGTCATCTCTCTGGCCTGTTTCTTTCACTTTTTAAAAGGAAGATGTTGGCCAGATGACTTCCCAGGAGTCTTCAGCTTTGCCATGCTCCATTAGAGGTCTCTGTAGTGGGGGACGGGCCCTAGGAGGTGGCTGGGGTGGGGCAGTGCCAGGATTGATTGATTGATTGATTGATTGATTTTAGGCGAGGCCACCCTTGGTTGACCTCACAGATTGCAAGGACCTTGTCAGCTTACAATCCCTTATTTTTTATTTTCTGTGCCTACAGCACTTGGTCTTCCTAGGTGGTCTCCCATCCAAGTACTAACCAGGCCCGACCCTGCTTAGCTTCCGAGATCAGATGGGATTGGGCTTGTTCAGGGTAGCATGGCCGTAAACGATAGTGCCAGTATAAGTGGCATCATACATTCATGACCCACCATGTCGTATGCAGGCCAGCAGCGTGACCCTTAGGCTTGTGTCCTTTCCCGGGGCCTGACCCCATGGCTTTCTCAGTAGCATGTGCTCCACAGGGGCCAGGGCCTCATCTGTCTTGTTCACAGCAAAAGCCCCGAGACCTAGAACAGGGTCCGGCGCTCAGTAGTTTGGAGTGAGCGCTGAGATGCCAGCCTGCAGCTCCAGGAGCAGGCCGCTTCCAACCCGGATGTCTCGGCAGGTTCGGCAGTGTCTTCCCGAGTCTCAACATGGCCGTGAAACGGAGGGAGCAGGCCTTGCAGGACTACAGGAGGCTGCAGGCCAAGGTGGAGAAGTACGAGGAGAAGGAGAAGACAGGGCCGGTGCTGGCCAAACTCCACCAGGTACCAAGGAGAGGGGTGAGGGTGGGCACACATTGGGGGGACACATGTCACACATGGAAGTTCCTCCTTCACCTGGGGACCAACTTGGCAGCTGTGGGACCAAGACACCAGGTGTTCTGATAGCACACCCACGTGTGTGCGCACGCACACACACTGCTTCCATCAGGGGCACTAGATAGGCCTGTGACAGCCGTGACAGCCAAGGTCTCATTCCCCAGGCCCGAGAAGAGCTTCGGCCTGTGCGGGACGACTTCGAGGCCAAGAACAAGCAGCTCCTGGACGAGATGCCACGGTTCTACAACAGCCGACTCGACTACTTCCAGCCCAGCTTTGAGTCCCTGATCCGTGCACAGGTGAGGCCACTTCCACCCGCCCCAGACACTGGCTCAGCACTTCCCTTGGGAGACAGTCTTGGGCTTTGTAGACACGTCACACCATCCTCCACTCCCCACAAAGGCTGACTATAACAACCTTGGCGGGGGCCCTGAACCCTGGGGAGAGCCTCGCTCAGGGCCTGTGCCTGGGCATCAGGCGGGGTGGGTGTGGGCGGAGGTGCATGGTGGGAGCACTGGGGCCCGGCAGCTCGAGGGTCAGCCGCAGTCCAAGCCTTTGTCTCCTGCTACTCAAGGATGTAAGGACACAGTGTGCGATCAGGTGTAGCTGCTGCCCTCCTCACCCTCTTCATCCCCTCATCTTTCAGGACATTAGCAGAGATTAGTCTCTTTGTAAAAGAGAAAAGGTTGTGGTGCCAAAGCTAAGGGGTCTCCTTTACGTGGGACCTCCAGCTGACTGCAGGTGCTCAGCTACCTGTCCCCACCAAGTAACAAAGCTAAAGGCTCAACGCATCCCCCTCTGCCTCCAAGCCACTCTTGCTCTTAGCCTGGGTATTTGGCGCCCTCCAGTGGACACTGTCATTCCTTGTCGAGGCCGCAATTGCAGACATCCAAAGAAAAGCCTGATTCCTTCCTCCCCACTTGCCATCTTTGGAGAGCACCCAAATCCATGGGGCTGCACATGAGCTATCAGGAACCCTGAGCAGGATTGGTGTTGGAGCTGGGACTTGTCAGTGACCATGTCCTTGGTCACTAGGGAAAAATGAGGCAAAGAGCTGATGTGAACAAGGGAGTAGGGGTTCCCACACTCAGCCCAGAACACTGCCCCTGAAGGTGAGGGCTTCCTTCCAGCAGCCTGGCCCTGGGCCTGGAGGAATGGATTTAAGGAGCCCTGCACAGTAGTCACTGCCCCTGCTCCCAGCCTGCAGCTCCCTGCAGGCCACCCCACCCTCTCCATCCTGTTGCTCAGGGAGAAAGCTCCAGGGTGCGAGCATTGGCGCACCCAGGGTAGAGCAGGTTTGGGGCTCGGGATGCCCTGTCACCAGGCAGCAGGGTGGCCAGGGTTGTTGCTGCCTCCTCAGCACCAGCCTCCCCCTCCCACGGCTGTGCTGCCATTAGTCACTGGAGAAGTGAGCATTCGTAGTGACTCAGCCACACAGTGAGGCTCTGGGCAGGGAGTGGGGGGAGGGTGGGCCACGCCTTGCCCTCTCTCAGCACTAGCCCAGGCCCCTGTTCCCTGAGGTGACAACAGGTTATGAAGGCCTTGGTTTAGCTGCTCCTCAAACCTAGCTGTGGGAGACACTTCCTAGTGGGGGGAGGGTGGGCCACGCCTTGCCCTCTCTCGGCTGGTTTCTTCTGGCCTCCGCAGGACCCATCAAGGGTCCTCCCCCATCCCACCCCCCAGAAGCAGCTCGGCCACAGCCCTGCCACCAACCCTACTGCTTGGCCTGGCCTTGCCAGTAATGGCACTCCAAGTTTCTAGAGTAGAGTTCCTTCTCCCCAAAGACAGCTTGGAGCTGGCGAGGATAAAATTTAGGGGTGTTGAATAGTGTGAAACACTTTCATGGAAATACTTATTTGGTCATAAGGTAAAGACTAAGGCAAAAATGGCCCATCCCCCTCCCCTGGAAAAGCCCCTGCCTGCCCTAGGCCCGCTCAGGCCCTAGGTCTCAGGAGCCCTCAGCCATTGAGAGTTGCTGAAGGGGCCCCCGTTGCTCACACGCCCTGCCTCATTCCTCTCCCATCCCACACTGGGGCGTGTGGAAGGCAACGTGGAAATCGCCTGGCCTCCGAGCCCTGCTTTCCAGGCCTCACAGCTTGGGCATGATTCACTGATGAGTTGGGGAGGGACTGAGGGCTAGGACGCTGCCACCATCCTCACCTTTACTTCTAAAGACCAACTCACAGAGCACTGGGGACCTGCCACGCCCTCTCTCCCACGGACAAAAATATCCAGGTCTCCTGGCTTCTATGAAGCTGTGAGCCCCTAGTCACAGTGCCTAGCCCCCTGGCCTCCGCAGGACCCATCAAGGGTCCTCCCCCACCCCACCCCCCAGCCCACCGCCCAGCACACGCACACCCTCTGCTGCTTAGAGAGAAAGGCAGAGCCTCCTAAGGACCTGTCGCTTCCCTCCCCCTTTGACTTACTGCCACCCCAGGCAGTGGACAGTCTTAAGGGGCTGCAGGTGGCCACTCACTCAGTTTAGGAAGCTGGCTGAGGGGAAGGGTGGCAGTGGAGGGAACTGTGGAAACCAGCCCAGGGGGTGCAGTGCTGTGGGAGCTCGGTGCCTGAGAACACAGCCCCTGCTGACCTTCTGCCTCCCACCCAGGTTGTCTACTACTCTGAAATGCATAAAATCTTCGGAGACCTGACTCAGCAGCTTGACCAGCCAGGCCCCCCTGACGAGCAGCGGGAGCGGGAGAATGAGGCCAAACTGAGCGAGCTCAGAGCCCTCTCTATTGTGGCTGATGACTGAGTCCCACCCCGTCAGAAGACTCCCGGGACACAAGTCGGCCTCTCTACTCTTGGCCCTTTTCAAGCTTAGGATCAGGCATCAGCCAGCAAAGGCCCTTCCTGGGAGAAGCGTGGCTGGCACCCAAGCAAGCTGCTGTCTCCCCATCCATAGAAGGAGCCTTCAGACAGGTAAGAGGCCTAGAAAACCCCAGGGGTTACTTCCAGAGGAACCGTCCAAAGTCTCCTGGCCCAGGGCCAGAGTAGGCTCCCAGCCTGCCAAGGGCATGGGCTCTGTCAGCTCACCTTGCCATCTCAGCCTTGCTTATGTGGTTGGGATCACATCTACCTCCAAAGACCCCTGCTGGGGAGTCCACGTACCCTGCTGCCTCCCCCCCCACACACACCCCGCACTCTCCTTTTCTGAGAGGGCCTCGACACTGCCTTGGGGGGTGTGAGCATCATGGTCCCCCCACCATGACAGGCCTTTCACTCTAGCCTCCCAGCATGGCAAAGGCTGGCTTAGCCCACTTCTGTCCTTTAGGTCAAGTGCAGGAAAGACCCTAAGTCTTGTAGGTTCCCTAGAAAACTAGGACTCAACTCATGTAAATATCTTACCACTAAAAAACAGACTGATTCACAGGCCTCAAAGTAAGAACAGTGGATTTGTGTCTCACCTGAATATTTGGAATTTTATTTTTTCATTAAAGTTTTCAATAAAATTTCCATGTATTATTGTCCCGTAACTAAGGCGAGGAAAGAGCCAGCTCAGGCTATTTTCTGAGTAACGCTGCCCCCTGCTGGGCTGGCAGGACCCCTACAGGTATCTTGTCTCCTCCTGATGGGCCAGCAGAGAGCCCTGAAGGCGAGGGGCGCTCTCCCCACTGCCCCGCCCACCTTCTGGAGGCGACTACACTCCCATCCTGCTGAGGCTGGGCTGAGGACCAGGCGGAAGGGTGGGAGCACAGGCAGACCTGGAAGAAGAGTAAGGGAAAAGCTATGGAGGACACTTGCTTTGTTTTTGACTTTGGTTTATTTAAAAAACAAAAAGCCAAAAAAAAAAAAAAAAAAAACAAACTTTATATACAAAGTCAAACTGAAACCACAGTATGGAAAGAGGCGAGACTTATGGGGAACAGGGAAAAAGGCTGGGCCAGAGCCAATACCACATTCTGAACACGGGGAGCCAGGGGGCAGAGGTGCTGGTTTCTTCTGGCAAGTCTGGGGTGGCTGGAACAGTGTCCACTGGCAACAGCCCAACAGTGAGAGCTCACTAGCACTGAGTCCATTCCTGCAAAGGCCACGAGAGACCCTTCCCTCGAGAACCTGCTCCTGTAACCTGGCAGGACTTGTGCCGTCCAGACGAAGGGGCTCTTACCCCAGCCAGATCTCGCATCTGTTTCTTCCGTTTATTGGCATCAGACCTTATGACATAGTCGAAAAGCCTTTTCCTCCCGTCTTACTCTAAACTGGAAGAGGACAGGAGAGAGCACAAGACTAAAGGGCCCCAGGAGAAACCCCAAGGTAGAGGGCAAAAATGACATTCGAGGGGTGCAGAAGATGTTAGATTTAGTTTAAGTGGAACCGGTTCCTCACCCGTCCATCCCACGCAGCACAGGCAAACCCCACCCGGACAGCCTGAGTGCCCCTACATGGGCTGAGCACAGGGTCAGCCACCCCGCCTATGGCTCCCAGGTCCTGCTCCAGCTTCTTTCTGGAACCAAAGGGCTCTAACTCCAGCACGCTCCACTGCTGACCTCGCAGGAAGGCAACTCCTGCGCCAGGCCCCTCAGTTGCTAGGTGCTGGCTCCTCCTTCTCTACCCAGCTGTCAGCCTGTTTGAAACAGATGGAACAAGAATTAGGACCCAAGGAGGAAGGACTACTACCCGCTTCCTCCCAGAGACTGCGGACTGACGGATCCCTAAGAAACCAGTGGATGGAGGAGAAGGCGAGATGGACCTCGGCCGGGGCACACAGGGCTGCCGTGTTGGCATCATCCTGACCAAGCCTCCCGACACGCCGCCAGCTCTTCTTGGGGCTCACCTTTTCAACCATTCGCTGCATCTCCAGCTGCAGGGGGGTCAGGCGCCTTCGAAACTCCTGCAGCAGCCGCTGAAGCTGGTTCTTCTGTCGTTCAGCTGTCCGGGCCGTGTCCTCAGCCTCAGCCAGCCGGGTGCGCAGCTCCTGCATGTCAGCTGCCAGTGTCTTGTTTGTGACTTCAGTGGCTGAGAAACGGTGGTGGCTCTCCTCTGGTAGGGACATACCAGAAAGACTGCTGCTGAGTTATGGATCGGAGCACAGGGCAAGAGGCCCAAAGCCTAAGGAGCAGGGTTCCCCTTTGGTCTCCATGTACGTGTCTGCATGGCCCATGTACATGTCATCATAACAGATCCCTGTGGCTCGGGCCACTCACCCAGCTTCAGTTCCAGTGTGTGAATCTTGTTCTCCAGGTAGAGCCGTCCACTGTCCTGCTGCTCTGCGCGTTGCAACAGGTTCCCCACATTGATCAGGCTGCCATTGTGGGACACCAGGCCTTTGTGTTCCACAGGGGCAGCTCCTGGCTTCGCGCTCTTCCCAGAAGGAGGTAACAGGTCCAGGTTTCCTGGAAGGGGCCACGAAGAAGAGTTAAAGGTCGAGTCTCGCGAGGACAAAGCTGCCTGCCCTGCCCTCTTGCACAGAGTGCCGCAGCTCATACCAAAGAGCACCTCCTCGGGAAGCCCGCCATCCGTGCCCTCCGGGCGGCTGTACTGAAGGCTGCGGTACTGGCAGATGTTCTGGGCCACCACCCTGCTGACCAGCTGTTTGGCCTACAGAAAACACACACCCGAACTCTGATGAGAAGGTGCAAGGCTTTGCCCCTGGGATGTGCAAGCAGTTAAAACAAGAGCATGCTGGATCCCCACGGAGGCGAGTGTGTGCCTGTGCACACCGTATCAGGGAGGCCATCTCAGAAAGGACCAAGGAGGCATGAAAGCAGGCACCTGCTCTGCGCTGAGCCGGAGCCCGAGAGTGAGCAGGATCCTTTCCAAGTCTCGCCGGTGCAAGTAGCCACACCAGTTGGCATCGAAGAAGACAAACGCAAGAAGACAGTCCAAAGGGAGCACGGCTGAGGGGTCCAGCTCCTTGGGCTGCAAGAGAAACAAGGATGAACGGGATCTGCACATAGTTCTCTCATTGGCTAAACCGCCCAGGACGTAGCCCTTGGCTGAAAATCAAGCAGCCTGGCTGACATAATCACACCCAGGCGCACTTCCCAGCTGGAGACCTGACCCTGGGCCTTAACCAGAGGCCTATTTGGGGCACTTTCACCCTAAGGGCTGTCATACAGAAGAACCTAGTGTGCTCCTAGACCAGATGCCTCACTCAGATTCACCCCGATGAAGATAATGAAGTGTCCCCTGGATCCTAGGGAAGTGCCGTTCCATGAGCCAAGAACCATACTTTGTGTTTTGCCAATCAACAAATGCACGAAGTCATCTGCTAGAAGTCTCCCTCTCCAACGCCTCGGGCCTTGCTGAGCATCAATGCCAACTGGGTGGGGAAGGGGTGGCGGGGCAGAGCCAGGGTCTCACCATGTCCTGAAGGGAAGAGAACTCCATCTCTGACTGGTTTGAGGCGACCGACCTGACCTCGGAATCCTCCAGCTTGGCCCCTGCTGCAGAAAGCCTGACATGAGCTTGGAGCAGTGACCGCGCGGCCAGACTGGCTCCAGTCCTGACAGGAGAGCACTGGAGCCAGTCGAGGAGCCACCACCGGTGCCCGCGTGCTCCCCTCCTGCACGTACCGAACTCCTCCTCTCCATCGTCCCTCAGCAGCAGCAGCTCTGGGTCGAGGGCCATCTCACAGAGGTCCTCCGACGCCTCGCCCCGGGGCTTTTCTTCCTCCTCTCCCCCAGAAGATGGGGGTTTGGGCAAAAGCCCATCTTCCTTCTAGGGGAAGCAGACCAAGATGAGGAGGAGGGCACCTGTTACCTGTAACTGCTAACTAACAGTGGCTAACACTGAGTGTCGGCCGCGCCCAGGCACCATGTCAAGGGCTCTGTCTGCCACCTCATGTGAATTTCTTTACACGCTCTTCAGAGCAGACCAGGGTGATTTCCAGACACCTGGGATCCCTCTCAGGAGTCCATCTCAGTCCGTAAGAAATTATGGGTACTTGAAAGTACTTAGGCAAGAAAAAGCCCCATGTGCTTTTGAAAGGGTTAAGAAAATACAGCGTTCTGGTTAACCATCGGGTTCCACGCCCCCGTACTCCTCAGAGCATCCTCGTGCACCGAGATCCCCGCGCTGCTGCAGGCGCCAACCCCGCCTCTCTTCCCTTCTCCTAGGCACGCCACTCACTAGCTCTGTGGCCCCACACGAGGGTCCCGTGCCCTGCACCTGAGTACATACAGGGTCTCCAGGTGCATGCAGTGAGTGAGGGGAGCGCTGAGAGGAGACCTGCAAAGCGCTCAGGGCAGCGCCTGGTACCACAGAGCACGCGAGTTCTGTTCAGTGTTACTACGTGTAGCCCCAGTGCCCGAGCAGGGGGCAGAGGTACTCACCGGCGGGGCGTCTGACTCGGCAGCTGTGCCCTCACTCTGTACCTCATCCTTGGACTCCTTGGCCACCTCCTCCTTGACCACTTCTTCCTCCTTGGCCACCTCCTCCTTCTCAGGTTCAGGTGGGGCCACAACCTTTTCAGGAAGGCTCAGCAGCATCTTATAAATCCTATAGCCAAAATCCCTCTGTAGCATCTCCAGAAACAGCTCAGCCAGCACCATCACCTGGTGAAAGAGGCAGCAGAGGTCCATGAACACCAGGAAAAAGCGAATGTTCCAAGCCACACCATACACCCATAAGCCCCTCAGCCTCCCCAGACACCTACACTTACCTCAAAAGAGATCCTTTCTTTTGGCCTCCGGTCCTCCACAATACCATGGAGGGACAAGTTTACACAGCCAGAACGTGCCATGACAGCAGGCTCTAGAGGGGGTGGAGGGGCCTCTGGGAGGTCGGTGTCCATTTCCTGCTGTGCAGTGACCTCCGGGTTCTCTGCGTTCTGTTTAGAGGCGTCTGCTGCTTGCTCTGACGCGTCAGCTGCCTGTTCTGTAGGCTCTGTTTCCTGTGACAAAAGCCAAGAGCTATTGACTACCTGGGCCCAGGCATCAGGGCGCATAGTTCCCCTACTTGTTTGTAAATCTCGGCCTTACCACTGGCACCTCCTGGGCTGCAGGAGCTGCCTCTGCAGCTTTCTGCTGGCACAGGGCCTCCCACTCTTCCAAAGTGGGCATAATGGTCCAGATATCCGGCAGGTAGACCACCACAGTCTGGAGCCGCCTCGGGGGTCCCGGCTGCAGGTACTGAAACTCAGCAAAGCGCCACCTGCTCACAGCCAAAGGAAAATGGAAGTACCGACCCATGACATCTGCAGCAAGTGCTTCAGTTTCTAAACAACATTTAATGAGCACATACTGTGAGCCAAAGTTTGAAAGTTCAAAAATAAAAGATACAAAGCAAGTCCTCGAGAAATGCTTGGTCAATGGGGAGTCACAAGTAAGCGAACATTTACTATCTGAGGTGCAAAGGCAACAAGGAGTACTAAATGTGGTCACATCTGACGAGCCCTGGGGGTCAGCTGGCCTTCGACATACACACCCTGGGTCACGTTCATGATCAAAGTGACCCTTTGTGAGAGCTGAAGGGAGGGATGGTCTGGGACTAGGGAAGATTGGAGCGCTAACAGGACAGAA